TCGGTGTTGTAGCAAAGCCCTTGGTGCGTGGGCTAGATTAAGTGAAAACGGCCCGACTTTGGGGTCTGTTTTTGTTTTCGGGGCTCTGGGGGCTAAACACAACGGCTACGGCCAGGCTGACAATCTTTTTTTTTTTTATTAATGACTGTATTGGTCTAAGGAGTTAATGTTATGGGTAGAGTAGGGTGACTATTTGGGGACAGGCTTCTAGACCATTAACTGAAATAAATATGGTCAATATTGAATACCCGTCGTACCCGAGGCATTATTCCGAATGCGTCATTACAGACGCTAATCGGGACTTGTGAGGACAATTTGCACATGCATGCCACCCGCCAGAAAGATCAACGCAATGTTACCACTGTTCAATTTGCATTGATCACCCGATGTCATTCTCAATTTGCGCGACAAAATAAACGGCCTCAAAAAAGCTGCTGCGTTTTTTAAATTTTTTATTAACGTGTGCAACAAAGGATTTACGCGTATTTATTGAGCGCTGTGCTAGAAGATACACATAAATGAGAGGTGTATGGAACTTTATCTCGTCTTTAAAAAAAAACATCCGCGTTTTTGCCGCGTCATAATGATCTGAACGAGCCTTTACTTCTCAATGATGGCGCGAGTGCAACGGGTTTCGAAGCTTGGATTAACGCATAACGTAATTTATATGCATCCTGAGCACCATCAATATATAGGGTAGGTGTATGGATTTGGAGACCCTTAAGCACATTTGCATAATTTACATAAACAGGAAAAATGTTACACATACAGAAAGTTTTGTATTCTCTTCAGTAACTTTTTCTCTTTATTTGTTAACAAAATTGTGGTCATGATGTAACTGATTAATAAGATAACAATGATTAATGACTTCATCACCAGAGGTCTCTCATTACCTACATGTGAAGGTAATAAAGGACAGTAACAAATCAAGACATTTAAAATACAATTTGAATGAAAATGGGATTGTTATAGTTAGTTCAAACACCTTTTGAAAGAGATATATGCAGCCAATGAACTTACTTTACTTTTGAAACGATTTTATAACAATGTGACCCAAAACATTTCTATACATGGACAATTAACCAACAAGCATCGGGTCATTGACTGTCCTCGGCACACTCGACATTCACAACAAACTACCCCATCTCTCTCTCTCCCTTTTTCTCTCTCTTCAAACTTCTCTACTTCTTTTTTTCTTTTGAACTTCCCTTTTCTCTCTTCTAGCATGTACTTGTATGATGATTATTGTTGTCTCGCCGAAATCTGACTTTCTTAATTTTCATTAATGTATTACATGTAATTAGGAATAATATGTTTATTTAATTAGGATCATTCCATTCCCTGCTCTCTCTCTCTCTCTCTCTCTCTCTCTCTCTTCCTTTCTCTCTGAGCCACCCCTAAATATCTGCATACACCACAACATTCAATGAAAATTGTGTTTTTATATCAGAGCAAAATGTTACGATCTAAATTGGTTACCTTGGTCAATTTTGCCAATTTTCTCGGAGAAAGAGCACATTGTAGTCTTCAAAATGAATTGGATATATGCAGTAGTGTTGTTAAAGGCCACAAATGGCGCTATAGCAATATTGGAGCCAATACAGACAGACAGTGATAGGTTCAAGCTTGGTGATTTCCAATTCCCTGCGGTCTCCAATTCCCTACACCTACCCTACACGATTCATCAAGATGATAAGTGGAAACGATACATGAGCAATCTGATCTGAATAAGATTTTATGTCAGTGGCAGTCAGCCTGTTTGATTACTGTAGCAATGAACAAAGTAATGTGTCAAATGGATATCTAGGATAAAATGACATGTAACATAATTATAATCATCCCCCGCAATCCGGTGCTTGTATCTGTGATTTGTCATAGGTAATGAGCAAATATTGGACAGTCATAACTCCTCCGGGGTAAGAAGAGCATTTAAGTACTGTAATTGCACATTTAAAGGTACTATGTCCCTTTTGCAGCCAACCTCAAATTCTGTAGAACTTTGCAGGAATTATGAATATGTCATGTATGTCCTATCTGTGAAATTTAAACGTTAGCAGTGTCCTCATATTCAAATTATGCAAGGAAACCCATTTACTTGCTAGACTTCACTGTCAGACCCTATTGAGTGACTGACTGGCTTTTTTTCTTCTTTGGTAATAACATACATGGAAAGAGTTGTAAAGGGTACGTGAGCATTTGTATACATCAATTAACCCACTTCTTGTGATGGCCAAGATTAAACTGATTGAATCTTTGCGCAGCATAAAACGTATGACCATTCGGTACAATTGTCTGAAAATCAAGACTATTACTTTTGGGCTCTATAGCCCTAAAGTCGATTTGACAACTAATAGTCGTTATTTTCCCACTTGAAGACATTTTCAAGCCCCACCTTTTTTAGGGAAGTTTTAGATTAGTATTATCTTTCAAATGCAGTTGGAATTTAACCTTTTCATTTTTGGCCTGCAAATGGGACAAAGTGCCTTTAAAGGTCAATTAAAGCTATTTTATTTAGAATTTTTGGTTTTCTGTAGCCTTTGATTCTGTAAAACATTTTGTGGTCACTTTATGCTTGGACTATATAATTTCAATGATTACTGTACACAAACACGTTCATTTGCGCTGGATTAAGATAATGAATTAAGCTGTCATTTTAATCTGACAAAATAATAATAATAATAGTTCGTCCTTATATAGCGCAGATATATATCATCGGATTCATGATTATCCGCACACAATGTATGCACATTCTCCACTCCCTGGGGAGCATTACAGCCAGTCGCCATTTTACAAACGCCACTTGCTAATCAAACAACATTAGCTTTCGTATCCTACCGGGTACCCATTTAACACCTGGGTGGAAATTGGCAAATGTAGAAGGTAAAAGGACATTAGTGCCGCGGCGGGACTTGAACCGCGGACCTTGTAATCCACAGACCGGTGACATATCCACTCGACCACGATGACACCTCTGCATAATGTACCCCAGTCACACCGCCACTCCGACCCCAAACTGATTGCTTCCTTGCCATTGTGGTAATGTAATTCAATGTACCGTCAAACCTGTCTATAGCGACCACCCAAAGGAAACATAACAAGTAGCCTTTGTAGACAGGTGGTCTTTGTAGAGAGGTTCCTTCAGTACATGCTTCAATGAGATTGCCATTGTGGTAATGTAATTCAATGTACCGTCAAACCTGTCTATAGCGACCACCCAAAGGAAACATAACAAGTAGCCTTTGTAGACAGGTGGTCTTTGTAGAGAGGTTCCTTCAGTACATGCTTCAATGAGAAACCATTTTCAAGGGAAACAACAAATATGGCCTTTGTAGACAGGTGGTCTTTGTAGACAGGTGGTCAATAAAGCAGGTTTGACGGTATATTAATCAGTCTCTTGTTGGTCACGTCATTGTGACTGAAGCTCGAATTTTTATATTAACTGTTGACACTTGACCCATAATCATCATTGTGAAATGCCAAATGAACTATGAATCTTAATATAAATGTCAAAGAACCCATTCTTTACTGCATGTACCTACAGAAAAATAATAAAACCTCGTGACCTACTAAAGGTATTTTTTTTCAGTGTTTTATGTTTCATTACAAAAAATCTCTATCATGGTAATTATAACATTCCGATTTTATTTGTAGTATGCACAGCACATTGTTGCTTTACATTATGACCTAACGTTTTTGCTGCGCCTTTCAAAGTAATTTCGAAATAATTAGCCTTTATACACATGTAGCTCCCAGTGTCGTACCATTTGAAAATATCAAAGTTTTATTGGTTTAAATTTCTGGCTTTTGTAAAATTGTAAATGCAATAACGAACATGATCTCAGAGGCATTTTAAGCGCGGCTCACACTCCATGAGCTGACTACGAACCGACTTTGAAAGAAATGATATAAGCATTCAAACATTTGGAATCTTAAAGGGACTTGCTAACATTGTTCAGATGAGAGATAGTGGTGCTAAGGTAGTGACTTCAATGCTGAATATACAATTATCTGAAAATTTGAGTGAAAACGGAGCATTTTTAATGATAAAAATTGGGAAAACTGATCCTATCGATTCCTGAATTATCCCAACTATATTATTAAAATTTAATTACATTTGACTAAAATTTAATAGATGAATGTAAATAGTCACAAAGCAATAAATTGGCTCTATATACCATTCCAGACATTTTTAAAAAAGCCTGTTTCATGTCCTTTTTTCATGGAAAAACGGTTGGGAAACTCAAAAATGGTTTGGAGAATTTACTTTTAATCACTGTTAGAGGGTGTTGCACCGTGACGCCTTCAAAGAAAATCATAGATATCTTCGTGGTTTGAGAATTTGTTCAGGATTTGTTTGCATGTCAGAGGGCTAGTACAGTAGAAGGAATATACAAAATAAAATTTTATACACAAATTAAGCAATTTTTTCATCAACCTTCAACAATGTCACCCAGTCACTTTAATAACCGAGGATCTGGAAAGTCATATAATTAACAAAATCTCAATTTCAAGAGATTTTATGCTTCTTTGGAGGGGGAAAAGCTAAATCGCCTCATAATCGTAATGACGTCAGACCAAAACTGCGATTGTCTACGATTTGAAGCCGATTCTGCTTTTATTCCAACAAGAGTTAAATGCACTAAACTTCCGGTTGTTAATATACTTATTATTGTTTAGAACCTAAATCAGGAGGACAGTAGTTGTTTAGATCGCCACATCTAATGTAACCACCCTTTCTACGAAATCAGGATAGCAGGAGGAACATGTAGTGTGCACCGCTTTAACAGTCAATTAAGGACAATAATATTTCAAATTGCATAAGGAATAGAAATCATATTCGAGTATATCAATAGGTGACGCATAAGCTATTGAATCTTTGCAATGGTACTAATTATTACTTTATTATTATTTATATTGTATTAATACACTGGGAGTATCGCTGTATAAGAACAATATTTTTCCAGCAGGATTTACTTCGCAGCTCTACGATCATTAGATACAATAAGCTTAGTTCATAACATCAACATATTTCAACATTCTATCAATGTCTTAAACTTAAATACATGGTTTTAAAAAAATTCAATGAGCAATTCTTATTTAAAAAAAAAATGAAATCAGAAATGTCAATCTGCATCTTTTAAGATATTTAAAATGTAGTTATTAAAGAATTAGTTCTTACAGATTGAGCTTGCACAAGATCTTGGCGCTTGAACCTGTTAGACACAGCTCGAAATACTTCCGAAGTTGAGCACTGCGAAACTCGGTCTATGTGATGACTATTATGAAGGGATTGAATCTTAGCTCTTAAACGAAACTCTCTGTCTCTGCGATGATATATGAAGGTAATAAATCTTAGCTCTTGAACTTAATGGATGCAGCTCGAAATATTTCGGGGAACCGTCACGAAACTCTGTCTCTGCGATGATATATGAAGGAAACACATCTTAGCACTTGAATTTGTTTGACGCAGCTCGAAATATTTCGAGGAAGGTGTTGCGGAACTCCCTATCTCTATGATGATATATGAAGGGATTGAGTGAGGCAGCAATAGCTATTGCTACCAGGAAACAGAGATTTAGATAGACCACAGAGGCTTCGTCCGCTAGTGGCGTTGCCTGAAGAGTGAAGAACACGATGTATGGAGACCAAAAGAACACAAGGACACCGACTATGATGCCAGTTGTCTTTACCGCTTTGAGCCTGCGCTCCACCGCTCCCGGTGCGACGCGGTTATTTTGATCGTTGATTGTTTGATTCGCTATGGCTCTTGCCTGCTTGACAGCGATCTGCATTATGCGGAGGTTAGAGACGACTATCACCAATAGTGTAAGGACCAAAAATGAGACGATGACCAAGCTGAATGTTACGATCGCGAGGCTATTGTGCGATTCTCTATCGCGGTTGGCATTTTGAACTTCGTTTAGGTCAATGTAACCGAGTACGACGAGAACGATGAAGCTAAGTATCCAAATGGATGCTATCGCGTAACCAACGCGTTTCGGAGTAACCAATGTAGGATATTTAAGCGGTTTTGTTACTGCAATATATCGGTCTACGGTAAGGGCAACAATGTGGAGCAGTGTACTCGAACACAAAGTGGAACTTGGTAACCATAGCAAGTCCGCCATGTTAGGGTACCAGGTCTTTAGCGAGAATACGGCTGGGTAGCAGTTAAGAGCAAAAGCCACACTTGACACCATATCATTTACTGCTAGACTTGTTAGGATAAAGTTCGTCGGCGTTCGTAGATTGTAGTTTTTGTAAACGGCCAAGACGACGAACAAATTCCCAATGGTGATGAACGGCGCCAACACAGCCATAAATGTCAACATCAGCGCAAAGATGAGCCCACTGTCGTGCAGGTTTTCGGAATAGGTGAAATTCATCATTCTTACCTCATTCTTTCTTGGTAAAACAATCTAGTTTAGCTCCTTCTATCCTTCTCGAATGAGGAAACGATGTATTATATTTGTTTTTTAGCGCCTCGCTGTCAGCTGTAAGCCGGTCGAATGCCCAGAAACTTTTACGCTGTCTGTCGCGAATCAAACGCCAGACTCGACATACACGAGTGTCTTATCAGATAGTTCTCGTAGGCACCGACATGGGCAGTCTGTTCGCTACAAATAAATAAATAATTATTGCGCTATGAAGGTTCCCTGGTTACGTATCATTCTAAAATCCCTGTGACCTATCATCTGATGATGTAAATGTCCGAGAGAAATTATAGACAATGATGTGTAAGGGCCGTTTCCCAAACTGGAGTGCGGGTTGCTGAAACTCTTGAAATATATAAATACCTCAGAGATAGATCTTTCTTTTGCTCGACTAAAAGAGCTGATGCAGTTTCTGAAATCAAATTCCAGACAAAAAACAACAAAAAATAAGTCAACATTTTCAGAACTCGTCCCTCTGATATTGAAAATCCGGTGTAAAGTTTAAGAATTGCGAAAACACAACATCTTATGAATAAAGTAAGGATCCGTCCTTCCTGCGTCTTTCACAGATTTTGTCTGATTCCGATAATTGATGATACTGAACCTGCCGGAAATGTTTCGATGATGGAGCTAGGGTATTGACAGCATTATACGTGCTACAACACGAAATGATCCACGCTCCCTCTCCTCCCCTCCGTAAATTAGTACAAGAAAGCTGCGCTCGTCAGCATGCTAAATGGGCACACTTTAACAGTTGTTATACCTGCGTCATATCATAGATCGATCATTTTTATTTTGAAAAGCCGAAGTTTAGTTTATGTAGTTCCTTACGGTAACAAACTTGCGCATTAATATAGGAATACACAATACTTTGACTTTATCGTGTAGTTTATTCATGTTTTATCGAGAACATGCGATAGAAAGTTTTAAATTAAAAGTAGGAACCGTAACAAAAGCAGTGTCAGTCAATCCATTCCAGTTATTAGAAATTAACCCTAGAATCTCATTAAGATGTCATTCCATATCCGTCCTATAGTCTCACTTTCTCACAGTCTTTTCTACTTTCCTCATTTGAGAAAAATTTGATGCCAGCAATATTTCATTTTACGTACATATTATAGGTCCAAAGGCCTTACTGTAATTACAATTTTTGAACGACAGCCTGGTAATTATGAAGGTGTTGATAATACTTGTAACTCTTTCCTCATGAAGACTTGGAAATCGGGGACGAGGGTGGGGTGGCACAATCGCCTCGTGCCCCCCTTTTTTTTAAGGAATGTAGCATACCATTTTTATTATTTTTTTTTTAAATTTTGTTATTTTATTTATTTATTTATTTTTTATTTTTTGTTTCTTTGTTGTTGTTGTTGTTGTTGTTGTTGTTGTTGTTGTTGTTTTTTTTTTTTTTTTGGGGGGGGGGGGGGGTTGGCCGGGTACTAGTACAACTAATGAAACTAAAGGGGGTACAATATCGCTGACACAAAAAGCATATTATTATTATGAGTGAAATTAGAAGGGAAATTGATCAAAGAATAAAGAACACATATCAGAAACATTACATAGATTCATCATAGTGAAAGTTGATATTGAGTGGTTCAACTACATGTCGTTCGCTGAAACCAGAGGGGCATTACCTCAATAGGTGGAGTGTGTGCGCGTGGGTGTGTGTGTGTGTGTGAGAAGGAGATATTTAAATTAATATGGAGTATACTTTGTAGTTACTAAGTGTCCGTCAATTATTTTGTAGAACCAAATAAGTTTAGTTCTACATCCAATTTCTCTTGACCACGTTAGTGCTGTCGTGAGTGTTTCCAAACATGCTGCAGATCGTTCATCATAAAGAAGGCATTAATTAAGGTACTTAAAGATGACCAGGAAAATCATTATAAACCGAGTTTGAAAACAAAAACCAGTGGACCGACGGCATTAAGTCCTCTCCGGCTGAATTGGTATTGAGGAATAATGCCTTACAAGAAGGACACTATAGCGCATTATTAACTTAGTCTTGAACCCGGGACTTCTCGGTTACAAGACCACTGCCCTACCACTGATCCATCGCATATCTTTAATTACTTTTGGCATTGCTTGTTCCAGTTTCATTTCTTGTTTGTGTTGACTGGCTATGAATAAAAATGCTGAAAAGGTATTCTCTCATACGACGTACATAATTTTTACTCCATTTTAATTTAAGGAACAGCTCAATGCTCAATAGCCATGCAGACATTATATCTGACAACCTGACACGAGTTAATAACCGTGATGACTCTTAATTGAACACTTTGTCAGTAAACAGTCACTCACATTACGCGGTGTATGGCGGGAATTGCATAATATTTATAATTGCTTATATAGCGCCTAACACTTACTTTATCAGAAGTCTCTAAGCGCTCTACAATAATGCAGCATAATTACCCTGGCTTTAGCAGTGCAGCTGTTACGCGCATGAAACGTTGTCGGGAGATGTTCCATTTTGGTACTGCCATCAGTTCGATCATTGGACTTACCAGAAAACAAACAACTTTGCACTTACATTCAGTTCTTTAAAATGCCATTAACGGATTTGAGTCTTGTAAATGTACAAATATTACCCAGTGAATACTTTTGTCTTAGCTTGGCCAGTCCTATTTCGTGAGACATTCAGATTCATCGCAATCCATGAATTTGGATCTCAACTAGTCTATTTCATTGCATTTTAAAGAGTATCATCACAATGATGAATGAAAGTACGGAACCAGCTCTTTCTGCAGGTCATCAATTTGCTGGCAAAATAGTTGTCATGGTATGTATTACTCCTTTCGTACCTTGCATCGTCGTCAGCAACGCCCTGTTAGTGCTAGCAGTTTACAGAAATTACAGCCTCCGAACACCAACAAATGCCATTATCGTGAGCCTCGCCATCTCTAATCTCCTCGACGCCGTTGTTAGGATTCCACTGTATGTGTATGCAACCGTCTTTAAATTCGGAGCATCGTGCTTCATCGAAGAAAATACTCATTACTATGCTCTACCCTTGAGTGCACTATCTGGTCTTTCGTTTTGTCACATTGTGGCGTTGACTGCAGATCGATTCATAGCTGTTACGAAGCCGTTACGTTATGCCAGCCTGGTGACGTTTAGACGCACATCCATCGTCCTGGGATGTCTTTGGCCTCTCAATATTTTGTTTCACACCGCCCGATGTGTTATCTTAGCGCATGGATCACATACAATTCAAGACCAGAAAGAAACGGACTGTGGGGCTCCCTTAACTGGGACATTGAACGTAACCTTCACCTGGCTGATATTTTGTGCGAATGTGATTTTAATGGTTGCGCTGCTTGCCATCAATGCTTTGATTCTTCACATCGCAGTCAAACAAGCGAGAAAGATTGCGAGTCAAAGAGTGATCATTCAGTTTCAACAGCAGCAACTCCCAGTACAAGATGACCGATTGAAAGCATTTAAGACTATCTCCCTTGTCGTGACAGTCTTCATTATCTTCTGGTTTCCGTTTCCCCTGTTTCTCATATTACATCTTATAACGTACCTATCACCTTTTACTATTATTGTATACGACCATTCCGCCCTGGTATTGCATACAATAAGTTTGGTTGTTAATCCTATCATCTACGGCTTCAGAGATCGGGCTTTTCGAAAGGCCTTTCAAAATATATTGCGTCAATTGTGAATAACGTAGTAATCTTTCGAAGTGCGTCGTAACCCCTCTGACGCCATTTTAGCGTGTGATCTATCCATTATCACATCAAAGGAGCACCATTTGTCCTGGAAGTAACTTAACATGATTGCAAAACGTTAATTTACCGTGCATGTTGTAATAATAACCATGTGAGAATATACAAACTACAAACCTAACTGAGGTCCGAAGTAGCCTAATTAGCAGTAGCTCTAACTTGGTTCATCGCGTATGGTTTCGTTATGAGTTGCAAACGCATTCTTACTTCAGATTGCAGTTAAGCAGGTGAATACAATCGCAAGTCAACAAGTGGCCATTTGGATGCAACAGAAACAGCAACTGCCTATCCAAGATAACCGAAGTAACTTTACATTTATTGCAAAACATTAATTCATATTAGTGTGAGAACCTGCAAACTATAAACTTGACTGATGGCCTGTAAGAAGTAGCCGAAGTAGCAGTAGCTCTAACTTGGTTCATCGCATATGGTTTCGTTATGAGTTGCAAACGCATTCTTACTTCAGATTGCAGTTAAGCAGGTGAATACAATCGCAAGTCAACAAGTGGCCATTTGGATGCAACAGAAACAGCAACTGCCTGTCCAAGATAACCGAAGTAACTTTACATTTATTGCAAAACATTAATTCATTTTAGTGTGAGAACGTACAAACTACAAACCTGACTGATGGCCTGTAAGAAGTAGCCGAAGTAGCAGTAGCTCTAACTTGGTTTATTACATATGGTTGCCTTAATAGTTGTGAATGCGTTCTTAATTCTAAATATTAAGAGCATTGTCAGCAAATAATGAAATTGATGATGTTTTGGGGGCTTGGTGCGTGGGCTAGATGAAGTGAAAACGACCCGTTTTTGGGGTCTGATTTTGTTTTCGGGGCTCATGGGGCTAAACAAAACGGCCAGGCTGACAATCTTTTTATTAATGACTGTATTGGTCTAAGGGGTTAACTGTTATGGGTAGAGTAGGGTGACTATTTCGGGACAGGGTCCTAGACCATGAACTGAAAAAAATATGATCAATATTGAATACCCGGCGTACCCGAGGCGTCATTCCGAAAGCGTCATTACCGACGTAATCGGGACTTATGAGGACAATTTGCACATACATGCCACGCTCCAGAAAGATCAACGCAATGTTTCTACTGTTCAATCTGCATTGATCACACGATGTCACTCTCACTTGACGCCAGCCACTAAATAAACCGCCTTAAAAAAAGCTGCTCCTTTTTTTTTTAATTAACGTGTAAAACAAGAACTTACGCGT